GAGGGCTTACAGTGGGCCCAGCCTTATTGTAAGGAAGTAATCTGTATGATTTTACAAGGTTAAGCCATTTGCCCAAGTCCACTCAGCTAGGATGTGACAGAGCTGGAATTAGAACTCAGATATGTCCAAATTCAGGACTCTGAAAGAGTCTTTTATGTACCCAAAGGCATGTATGTATCTTCCAAGATTTCAACAACCTTAAGAGGCAGATGCTATGATCACTCACAGTTAACAAACTGAGACCTAGAAAAATTAGATCTATAATGTGTAACAATACACATAAGACTTCAGTAATTAGCGATAATTAATTGCTAACGTTTATTGAGCCAGTACTATTTGCCCTGTTTTGTTCATGCATTTAACTTGAATTATCTCACTTAAAGTGCATCTTTGTACCAGTGTGAGTGAATTCATGGTTTTCAGTATATTAAAAAGGAGACAGATATAGAAGGAAATATAAATGTAAATGCATTGGTTAGCATATATATCTCCTAACTCTTATTGCTGAGGGGGTCTTTGAGCAATGATACTCCAATAGCAGTGAGCACACACCTAGCACCCAGATCTTGGTTTCTCAATACCATTCTGCAAGAAAAGGAAACAGGATCCCTAGAGAAATGGCATGGAACATCTTGTACTAAAGTAAGGAAGTGCTCAGAGAAAGATGGGAGACATTAAAAGAACATAGAAGTTACAAAGCAGCAGCAAAGTAAATAATAGAAATTAATTATAGGGGCACCTGGCTGGCTCAGTCAGTGGAGCATGTGACTCTTGATTTCAGGGTCATGAGTTCAAGTCCCACATTGGGTGTGTGCCTACTTAAAAAAAAAAGAAAGAAAAAAGAAATTAATTGTAACCCACAGAATAGAATAAATAGTCATGAGTTCATGGTGATATAAATACATGAATAAATGGGGGTGCCTGGTTGGCTCAGTTGGTGGAGCATGTGACTCTTGAGCTTGGGGTTGTAAGTTCAAGCCCTGTGTTGGGTGTGGAGATTACTTAAAAATAAAATCTTTAAAAAAATTTTTTTAAACATTTATTCATTTTAGAGAGAGCCTGAGCAGGGGGAGGGGCAGAGAGAGAGGAAGACACAGAATTTGAAGCAGGCTCCAGGCTCTGAGCTGTCAGCACATAGCCTGATGCTAGGCTCGAACTCATGAGCCCTGAGATCATAACCTGAGCTGAAGTCGGACACAACCTAGTGAGCAACCCAGGCGCCCCTAAAATCTTTTTTTTTTTTTTTTAAAGTTTAGTTATTTACCTTGAGAGAGAAAGAGAGGCAGAGAGAGGAGAGAGAGAATCCCAAGCAGGCTGTGCACTGTCAAGGCAGAGCCCTATGCAGGGATTGAACTCACCAGCTGCAAGATCATGACCCGAGCTGAAGTCGAGAGTCAGATGCCTAACCAACTGAGCCACCCAGGCGCCGCCCCCCCCCCCAATAATAAATATATAAATACTTGAATAAGTGCATAACTAGTGAAGAATGGACAGCTCTTGTTTACAATAGAATTCCAAATAATAATTAAACTAGTAAGTAGAAAATAACCATAGTAATTGTTGCTGGCAAGAGCCATGGATGGGTGCAAAAACTAGTGGGTGAAAGTATATTAAAAAAAAAAAAAAACAGCGTTAGGGTATTTGCGCTATGTATCTCCCCGTAAGATACTTATTGCAAAAAGAAAAATGGTAACTTAACAGTTGAGAAACTGACAGACATTGCTTAAGCAAGTAAGCAAAGTCAACATCACCAGTAGTGAGACACATCAATATCCTGTGACGCCAGACACGACGCATCGAGACGGCTATAACATCGCTTCTGCGGGAATCCTGCCCAAAGTGAGAAACTTCAGTCTAATTATGAGGAAATATTGGACAAACCCATATTGATGAGTAGTCTAGAAAATCAGCACTCTTCAAAAATACTAAGGTCATAAATGATTAGGAAAGACTGAGGAACTGTCCCAGAGTGGAGACTAAGGAGATACACTTAAACATAATGTGGGATCCTGGACCAGAAAAAGGTCACCAAAAGCAGAGCAGGGATTTTTGAACTGAATGAATCTGATTTCCCACCTAGGAAGCAGGATTCCTGGGTCTGGGTCAACTACAGGCCACCTGAGCATCGCATGACTTTGAGGGAGTCCCTGCCGCTCAACTTCAATCTCAACACCTACAAAGTAGGACGCCTTTTAGACACCCCCAACCCCTTCCGGCTGCTGGGCATCTCGGGCCTTGGAAACTACGCAGGCGTCAGAGGGACGGCTTGATTGGCTATTCGTTGTGACGCACTTGCTAACTGTAGCAGCGCCTAAGCCCCACCCCTTCCTGCCGCGACTCCTAGCACGCATATCGGCTCCGGGCACGTCGCCTATACGCGCGGTTGCACGCGTGTTGCGTGGTGACGTCGTGGCGGCACGGGCGCCATCCCGGAAGCGCGAGCAAGGCCGCCAGATGTGCAGGTGCTGCTGCCACCGACGCCGGGGCCGAGTTCGGGGTGGGGCTGGGAATGCCGGGGCCGCTGGGGAGCCGGGCCGGGTCGGGCGCGGCCCCCGGGCTGTTGCGGGGTGGGGCGCGCCGCTGGCCACATCTGGGCACTCCCCCTGCCTACAGGCCTCAGTTTCCCCGTCCGCGCAATGTGTGAGCCGGCGGCGCCATGGGCCGATTCCGGAGCCAGGGCGCCGGAGCCGGGGCTGCTTGTGTTCAGTCTGCAGTGTCACCCGGAACCGGGCGTTGCAGTCTTTGGGCCTCAGTTTCCCCGCTTTGCAGGGGCGGGGCGTGAGGGGATAGGCGAGTCCCGCCTCTCTCGCGGGTTTTGCTAAGCTTGGGCCGCCAAATTAAATTCTGTTAAATACTGGGTGGAATCGTGGCTCCTCCACCTTGCCGTGTGACCTTGGGTAACTGAGCCAACCCCTGTGAGCCTTAGTTGCCCTTGGAGATGATAGTGTTTGCTTCATAGGGATGACTGGGGATAAAATGAAGTGCTGTACAAGTGTTGGCTCCTGTTCTTGGAAGGACCAGGGAGCCCCTGGCTACAATGCTGATTCCCTGGCCCCGCCCTAGGACTTCATACTCCCCATGGAGAAGCAGCCTGCTCCGAACCCAGCTCGTTATCACTATCACAGACAGCGCTGTGAGATTCTGATTCTTTATTACTCCCATTGTCTGGATGAGAAAACTCAGGGAGGTGCGGTGACCCTCCCAAGGTCACACAGCCTCCTTTTCTGCGTATTTCCCTCATAAGTAATATTTGGAGCAGAGACCAGAGCCCGTGCTAGGTCATTTCTACTCTGTTTGTGGGCCAGACTAGCTGTTAGGGAAGTTTTCCTGAGGCAGGGGAGCGTGCCTTGAATCAGCCCTCACATCTGGGAGCCAGAGACTGGAAAGAGCCCCTTGAAGCAGAACCATTTTACACAGGTCCAAATCTTGTGCCCTGCCAAGCACTAGCTGTGGGCTTCCTGCCACACGACTCTGCCCTTTGGGCCCAAGTGTCCTCATTATACATGATTATGCTTCTTTGGAAACGTGGTTAGTGGATACTGTGGGTGTTGGTACCTGGCACATAGTAGGAATTCAATAAACCTAGTGATTATCTGGTGTGGGAGGGGGCGGATTTCACCAGGTGTGGCAGCTTATTTCCAGAAGGCATGTAGGGGCTGCAAATAGATAAGTCTTGGCCTCCATGGTGTTTGAGGGAAGAAAAGTATTAGCTGTTAACATTTGTAAATGAGGTGATTTTACACACACATGAAAGTCCACATTTCTGAGTGTTTTTTTTTTTTTTTTTCCTGGAAAAATTCAGAAGTCTGGTAGTAGTCAGTTACTGTAAGAAGGCGCTGTCCTGGCAGAGGTGGATACTGAACACCCGTTCAGATTCACGCTCGTGGGTCCTGCAGACTGGGCATTTGAGTTGTGACTCGGGTTTACTGAGTATGTGACAATGGTCCAGTTTCTCAGTTTCTGAGTCTCCATTTTCCTAATATGTAAGTAAGGGTAACAGTTCCCGGTGTATAAAGTTAGTGCATTGGTTAGCATACAGTAAGTGCTCAATAAAGAGGAGAGTGGATTAAGGGCTCTGAAAGCCCTTTGTGATTCTGCATGTGAATCTCAACCAATTGCAAATGGGCCTTTCTGTCAGCAGTTAAATACGTGGACCCCAGAGCCAAGCTGTGTCAAGATTCTGGGTTTTACCTGACACCCCCGCCCCTGAGGGTGAGTGCTGAACCTGTGGCCCTTCCTGCCCTGGCAGGGTCCAGGAGGCCCCCCACCTGCCATGATGGTCATCTACCTAGCCACACAGCCATCTGGGTTGCTGGGGCCCGTAGCTTGGCTGAAATTCTTGGCTTTAATTTGCTAATAAAACCCTAGAGTCAGAGCGGAGTTTGAAAGCCTCTGGTTGCCTCCACCAAGCTAAGTTCTGGTGACCCCTTGCTGTGAACCGGTTTCTGGGCTGGGCTCTGGAGGCCTTTGCTCTCTTGAAGCTGACGTTGCTTTGGTAGCAACGGACAAAAAAGTCAAATGATTACTAAGATAATTTCAGGAAGAGATGAGTCGATGAATAAAATAAGGCGAAGTGCTTATAAAAGTGATCAGAGTCGAGAGGAGGGGCAGTCATCACAGGAGAAAAGATACTGGAGGTGGTGATGATTTGAGGGGGCAGTCGTGTATGTGAGGACGGCAGGTGCAAAAGCCCTATGGTGGGATGAGCAAAGTTGGGGGGATGTAGGAAGAGGCTGGCAAATCTATGCAGGTGGAAGGTGGCCGTGGCCTTGGGCACATGGAGAGTGGGGGCCATAGAGGTCGGTGGGTGATGGGATTCTGATGTGCTTGGGTGCAATTTACAAATATGTCCTCCCAACACCCCTGGATTCTCAGGATGACAAAGCTGAGGCTCAGGTGGCATGACCAACTCATGGCCCGCGTTCCCAGCCCCTCCTTTCTGTCCCAGCAACCCCACTGCCTAGTGCAGACTGAAGACTCCTTCACCTTGCCTGTTTTAGGCAGCGGAGGAGGAGGAAGAGATGGACCCTCCGGACTCGGCCTCGAGGGTCTTCTGCAGCCGCATCCTAAGCATGGTGAATACAGACGACGTCAATGCTATCATCCTGGCTCAGAAGAACATGTGAGTGGTAGCCAAGGGCTGTGGGCCCCAGGCGTGGGAAGGAATCCACTCGCTGGCCAGCATTCTTTCCCTGTCTGCCCTTACCCTGGGCCCACACTGGTGATAAAATGAAGGAAATGAGCAAATCTGCCGGCTGGCTCCAAAGTAAATTCCTTCCTGGCCTGGAGGCGAGGCCTTGGCACAGGAAGCAGGGCTTTGGGATGGTTTCGCAGCTGTGGATGGCTTGGCAGGGGCTGTAGCAGCTCCTATCCCAAGGCCCGGGGTGGGCTGTTGGGGGAATAGGAAGGGGCTGCGGGAGGGGATTTAAGGAAGCCAGTGAGCTAATCTCCTGTTGGGAATCTAGTCTCTCACAGCCCAGGCTGTCTCTGCAGAGGACCTGTGGTCTTTCGGAGGGGCTGTCAACACCTTTGCCCTCCTTAAGGGCTTGGCACTGTGACCACTGTGACCGATTCCAGCCTGCTCTGTGGGGAAGAGAGGCTTACACAATCTTGGGATGGAAGCACAGCCTCCTGTGGCTTTATTTTTGTGTATTTAAGCCAAAGGCTCTTCCTTCCATTTATGACACAGCAGCGACCTGATACCCTTCCATTTCTCTCCACCTGTGACAGGGGTACTGGGTTTGTCTGGGTCAGATTTAGGCCTGGCCTGGTGAACTCCCAGAATGAGGGGAGACAAAACCAGACACACACCATGGCCCCGTGGTGTCAGGGCTGGGCCAGGGGAATAACCTGGATCTAGGGACTCAGGGGAGTCAGAGTCTGCTTGAGAGAGGGTGTATACATGAGAAGGATGTACTTGGGTAGGGTTTTGAAGGTTGAGTAGGAGTTCGCTAGATGGCTCAAACAGCAGGTAGAGTTCTACATGGCAAGGAAACAACACATGCAAAGGTCATGAAGCAGGAAAGGGCCTAGCACGATCAGTTTGTAGGGCATGGTTTGCAGGGCTGGTGCCTTCTCTTTGCTGCCAGGCTGGACCGCTTTGAGAAGACCAATGAGATGCTGTTGAATTTCAACAACCTGTCAAGCGCCCGCCTGCAGCAAATGAGCGAGCGCTTCCTGCACCACACAAGGACCCTGGTGGAGATGAAGCGGGACCTGGACAGCATCTTCCGCAGGATCAGGTGGGTCCCCAGCCTCTCCAGCTTCTGCCTCCCCCTCAGGTTTCTCCCTTCTTCAACGAGGATCATCCAGTCTGCAAAACAGAGATCCTGCTAATTTGTTCTTTGAGGCTTCATCGCTCACTTAGCGTCTGAGAAGATCTGAAGTTTGGGATAAAAAATCTTGAAGTTTCTGGATTTAGATTTTATTTATCTTTCAATGACTGCAACGTAGTACCAGATGCAGGATGCAAAAGGCAGGCAGGTGCAGACAGTGAAAGGCAAGTCTCTGGTCCTCCAGCCCCCGGCCCAGGTCTTCTCTCAAAAGGCATCTGAGATTGCCAGTTTTGGTGGGTCTTCTCTGAGCTGTTTTCTGTGAGGACAGAGAAGAATGACGTTCAGGTCCCTAAGCACGTAGAATGCTCAGCGCAGCACCCAGAGCCTGCATCACTGTGGCCACATGCCTGGGCCTGGAACTAGCCAGAGCTGCAGCTGTATTTCCAGCTGACAGCACCACTTACTCTGTCCTGGGGGCAGCCCCACCCACTGGCAGGCTCAGGAACAGAAGATCATGAGACAGGCCAATTAAATCCCGTATAAAAACACATATTTTCTGAGGTGTCTCATCAGGCTGGTTGCCCAGGCGTGGTTTTGGGGGTGAGCAGGAACCCCAAGCGTTGGCATCTTTTGTGCATATCTGTATCACCAGGAAGGGGATAGTTGTGTCTGCCCAGTTGCCTCGTGGGTGGGGACCCAGCAACGGTGGTGCTTCTGGTGGGGACTGGGTCACCACAGTCAAGGATGAGACTCCACCCCCCGAAGACCCCTTTGTTATTCTTTGTAAAGGTGACTTCATTACTTTTTTTTTTTTTTTTAATGCTTATTTATTTTTGACAGACAGAGCATGAGCGGGGGAGGGGCAGAGAGAGAGAGGGAGGCACAGAATCCGAAGCAGGCTCCAGGCTCTGAGCTGTCAGCACAGAGCCCCATGCGGGGCTCGAACCCACGAACCGTGAGATCATGACCTGAGCCGAAGCTGGGCTCTCAACCGACTGAGCCACCCAGGCGCCCCGGTGACTTCATTACTTTAGGAGGAAAGGAAAAACAGCTGATTAAAAATGAAGGAGGCGTTTCTCTGTGAACGTCAGTTCAATGTATGCAAGTACTCAGTGTCTGGGGTGTGCATAATCACTCCTGGCCCCCACACAGACACTGTCATCCTAGTGGTGGGGGACAGGATGGGACAAGTCACCCAGAGGAGCGACAGCTGAGGAAGGGGTGAGGAAGCCTCCTGGAGGGTTATCTGGGCAGGGAAGGATTAGACCTAAGAAAGGCATTGCAGATAGAGGGCCTAGCCAGACCCAGCACGGAGGACACGCACAAGCTCTTGACAGCTGAGCAGCTGCCATCTATCCTAGGGCTGGGAGGTCCGCAGGGCTGAGCACATGGGCCTCCTTCCAGCCCAGGAGCAGAGTGACCAGCAGTAAAGGGTTGGGGGGAGTTCCCATCCCCCACCCACCTGGAACTGCAGCAAGGGTTCCTGGCGTGCACCAGGCCCAGCCTGTCTGCTTGGCAGGTTCAGCCCTGTATGCCTTCCCTTCCCCTGCAGGACGCTGAAAGGGAAGCTGGCCAGGCAGCACCCGGAGGCCTTCAGCCGTAAGTGTCACCCAGGGCTCCTGTGCCCCACGTCTGGCCTCTGCACCCACGGATGCCAGCACCCTCACCCCAGGTCTGGCTTCTGGAAGGTCACCTCAGGGGCCGACACTGAGCCCAGGTCCTGGTGGGCTGTAGATCTAGAGAGACTTGGAGCAGGGGGCAGGGGCATGGGTGCTTGGCTGGTCTTGGCAATCTGTAGAGCAGGTGCTGGGACTAGGATCCCCTCCCTGGGGGAGGTTACACAGGGGAATGTGGATAAGAACGATGACAGTCCTTGCCCAAGTGGATGTAGTGTAGCTCTATGAGCTAGGCTCTTACCTGCAACCACCCATGAGAGTGGGGGCTGTGAGTATCCCATTTCATACAGGGGGAAACTGTAGCCCTAAGGAGCAGTGACTTCTCAAAGGAAGTGCAGCACCCCCTATGCTGACTCTCAGTTTACCCCCTCTGCCAAACGGGCCAACATCTCCCTACCTCAGGGCTGCTAACAACCATAGGCACAAAGGCAGTGCTGTCAGGGTACCTGATTGCCTTAGTCAGTAGAGCATGCGGCTCTTGATCTTGGGGTTTGAATTCAAGCCCCCTGTTGAATGTAGTGCTTACTTCAAAAACAACAAAAACCAAACAAGGCAATGCTATCATCAGGCCTGCTTTGTTTATAGAGCAGAATGCTGAGGCAAGGGTAGTGAGAGGCTTGGCCCTGGCAACACAGGAGGGCAGAGCTAGGCTCAGGCCTGTGTTGGCCTGACTCCTGAGAACCTGGGTCCTTACACCCTGAAGGGAAACCTCTCCTCTGCCTGGGCCTCAGTTTCCTCCTCTGTAAAATGGGCCAAGTTAGGCCCCACGGGGTGGCAGGGGAGCTGTTAGGGGTCATAGGCCCAGTGAGTCCCTCATCACGGTGCCCGCCACGGTGACTAAGCCAACTCCTGGCCTCCTTCCCCCAGACATCCCAGAAGCATCCCTCCTGGAGGACGAGGATGAAGATCCCATACCACCCAGCACCACGACCACCATTGCCACCTCAGAACAGAGCACGGGCTCATGTGACACCAGCCCTGACACTGTCTCACCCTCCCTCAGTCCTGGCTTCGAGGACCTTTCCCATGTCCGGTCCAGCTCTCCTGCCATCAATGGCCGCAGCCAGACGGACGATGAGGAGACAGCGGGGGAGTAACCCTACTCCCTGGCGCCCCGAGGGGTCTCAGGGAAGTGGCAGCTCTCCCCAGGTGTCTGAGGTGGCAGTAGGTAACCCTGCCTGGAGATCAACAGCTTTGCCACCCTGTTTTGTCACCCAGGGCTCCTGGGGGACAAGACTCCCTCCAGGGGTGTGGAGTTCCTGGGGGGGTCTATCATTCCCAATTCCTCCTCACTGAGAACATCTGTCTTCTGCAGACCCCTCTGCCAAGGCCAGGGGATGACCAGCTCAGCTGGAGTTATGGGCTGGGCATAAGGGAGCTTTTCCAGAGCCAGGCTTGAGGTCTGCTCTAAACATTTAAAGGCTCCCAGAGACCAGAGCCAGAAGGCCCCTGCCCCGATGCCCTGGTCAAGACCACCTCAAAGTGGATCAGCACTGTCATGTCTCAGTTCACCCCAACCCGTCCCTGTACCTACTAATTCTGGTCTCCCTGCCCTTTCCTCCAACAAAAGTATTGAATGCTATCTCCAGTTGGTATGTCAAGGAGGCTTCTGAGACAGTTGTAGAAGGCTCAAGATGGAGGCGGGCCATTCAGCTGCAAGCCTGATGAGGTCTGTGTTTCTCTGGCCAGAGGTGCGAACCCTCAGGGCCCAGCAGGCCTCTCCCAGGACCTCCATGGAGCAAGCTGAGCCACCTTGGAAAACAGAGTTAAACGGAATATTTTTGTACCCGATGTTTACAGATGCTGTTGGGAAGTTATCAATAAAAAGACTCTGTTACTAAAAAGGGAAGGGTGTACTTAGCGGTGGCTTCCTTCCATCCTTGGGCCCAGGATGCCATAAGGGGGATAAGTGCAGGACGTGAGACAGGAGGGGTATGTGGACGGCCAGGCACCACTGAGGTAGAGACGTGGCTGCTCTTGGTGGCAGTCTCCAGTGGTAGCAACCGTAATAACCCAAGTTCCTATCACTACCTATGTACTCACGTGCCGGTTCCCTTTTCTCTGAGTAACTTCTCCAGATCGGTCTCAGGATGGACTCCTCAGGGAGGCAGGCCGGGTCCCTTTCCCCATGAGACACTGTGTAGAGTTCCCTGTAGAGTTCTTTTAAGCACTTAAAAATTACGTTATTAAAGACATCTTCCTAGATCCAAGAGTGTGTGCTTTTGCCTGTTAATAGGGGGCGCTGTTAAGTGTTCAAGGAAATAAAGAGGAACCCTGCCAAACCTACACGTAACTTCTCAGTCCTCACCCTTCCCGTTCCTGGCACTGTTTAGCCATCCACGACTCCTTGGTCCTAACAGAAGTCCTCTTTGGCCCCAAACTGACCCTGGGTCACACCCCATTTTGAGTGAGTGCATCAGCTTCACCTTCCCTCACGGCTCTGATAGGCGCCGCCTTGAAATGCCTCCAGGCACAGCGGCTAGAAAGTTTTCAAATATCTAACTCCTTGGTGACAGGTGGATCCCGAGGGTTTCGGCACGTCCCACCCCTGTGCCGCCTACCACCTTCCCGTCCTGAGCCCTGAGTCCCGGACCCGTTGACCCTCTGCTTAATTCCTTCGCTTTAGCACAAATTGTCTCCTCTACTCTTGTCAACAAGCATTCCCCGAGTGACCGTTACGTGCAGTTTTTAGCCAACTGAGAGACAACCTGGAAAGGTGAGGCCGTCCCCTCACGTGCCCTGGAGGACAGGGGAATGCACCCGGCAGCGGGTTGGTGACACTCGCCCAAGGGGGCTGCGGCTTCGTTAGCCAGCACCCAATACGGCGGCGGGGCGGGGCCGGGGGTGGGGTACGATGCGCGGCGCGGATTGTGACGTAAGTGCGCAGCGTGCTCGGTGCGCAGGCGCTCTCGGCGGCAAATCGGCGGTTTCCGGTCCGTCGCCCTCTTTCTCTTCAACGAGGTTCCCGAGCGGTTTGGTGGCAGCGGCGTTGCGGGTTCGCTCCAGACCGGGGTCGGGCGGGAGGCTGTGGGAGGCCGCGGGCGTCCCGGTGGCGGAAGGGACAGCCCGGAACCCGTCCACGCGGGCCAGGTTCGGCAGGGCGGCCCGGTCGGCTAAGTTGGGCGCGTGGAGCCGAGGTTCCCAGCCGGGACTGGGCCCCGGGTGGCGAACGGGTCTTTGGGAGAGGAGCCTATGCGCCCCTCCGGCCCAAGCTATCCCAGGAGGCCTGGGGACGCGGATGAACTTTCTGGGCAAGGGGGAGGGGGTACTAAGCGCATTTTTTTTTTTTTTTTTTTTTTTGGTGTCCTACAATGCGCCAAATCTTTTGAAAATATTAAGTCCTTTTCCCCTCCCACAGGGTGATTCACTACTTGCCTTCTCAGGAGAGGGTGGTAGCATCCACCTTATAAGGTTTTTTTTTTTGCGGGGGGGGGGAGATGAAATATGTGTAAACAAGTACCTGACACGTGCTTGGCAGGCACTCTTTATGGGTTGGCGCAAAGGCAAGAAATGTGGGCGAGTTTGGGTATAACTTAGAGGGAAGCCAGGGTGTCGGATGTCTGAGCTTGGAGTTGGAGAGAACTGCCACCGAGGAAAATGTGTGGGAGGAGCGGCTGCCAAAACGGGATTCCCATTCGGGTTGCAGGAAGGGCTGCTTGTGGAGCAAATGCGGCTTACAGAGGGGTAGGGAAGGGAGGGAGGATGGGACCTCCCGGCCACCCTCGAAGAAAATGTGCCTGACCAAATGGTGCCCCGGCTACGTACTTCTCACTCCGTCTTCAAAGTTGCCAAAATTTCATTTGCTGGGCCCAAGGAGGATAACCACTATCTTTGCTCCCATGAAGCACACTTTGCCACAGGGGTCCGGGGTAAGGTGCGGAAAGCACAATCCTTGATTATAGGGTATTTGGGCTGTAGCCTCAGAGAGGTGGAAGGAAACAGGCGCTGGGATGGGCCTGTACTTGTGGTTGATACTGGCACAGGGCTGGCCAGCCCCTGAGCTCAAGCTGCTCAGACCTTCAGTTCTTAACCTCTTCACCCTACTCTTCCCCACCCTCCAGCAGTCGCAGAGATGCAGATCTTTGTGAAGACCCTAACGGGCAAGACCATCACCCTCGAGGTTGAGCCCAGTGACACCATTGAGAATGTCAAAGCCAAAATCCAAGACAAGGAGGGTGAGTTGAGCGGAGTCCAGAGGTTCTGTTCAGCAGCAATCCCTCTCAGCCCAGAGGAGACACTGTCATGTGCAGGATGGGTGCTGGGTTTGTATAGACCTCAGCCTTGGCCAGTGCTTCCCTTGTGTGATCTTAAGAGGACAGCTTGTTCTCTCTACCTCAGTTTCCCCTTTGATAGGTTGGAGGCTATGCCAGAACACCCCTGCGGGGAGAAGGGAAGCTGCCAGCAATGTGCTTGCCAGAGTCTTAGTCTGAGCTTTCCTCTTCCCAGGCATCCCTCCTGACCAGCAGCGTCTGATTTTCGCGGGCAAACAGCTGGAAGACGGCCGCACTCTGTCAGACTACAATATCCAGAAAGGTACTGGGAGTTGAGTGGCTGGACAGAGGCCCGTGAGGCCTAGAGCCAAGGAAGAGGCTTTGCAAGGATGAGGCTTTGATGATCTCATTGGCAGCATTGGGGAGGGTGGGGGAGGTGATCAGATGGGGCTAGAGGAGTCTTATTTATTTATTTATATTTATTTATTTATTTATTTATTTTCTCAACATTTATTTATTTTTGGGACAGAGAGAGACAGAGCATGAATGGGGGAGGGGCAGAGAGAGAGGGAGACACAGAATCGGAAACAGGCTCCAGACTCTGAGCCATCGGCCCCGAGCCTGACGCGGGGTTCGAACTCACGGACCGCGAGATCGTGACCTGGTTGAAGTCGGACGCTTAACCGACTGCGCCACCCAGGCGCCCCGAGGAGTCTTTTATAAAATAATGTTTTCACTGGGGGAAGCATCTCCTGGTCGCCACTTATGTTTCCAAGTGTGGCAGTGGTTTCTCTTGTTCTTGTTCACCTTTTTTTCTTTAAAAGACTGTTTTCTTTAAAAATGTGTTAAGAGGGACACCAGTCTGGCTCAGTCAGTAGAGCACACAACTCTTGATCTTTGGGTTGTGAGTTCAAACCCCACATTGGGTGTTGAGATTAAAGATAACATTTTTTTTTTTAACGTTTATATTGGAGAGAGAGACTGTGTGAGCAGGCAAAGGGCAGAGAGGGAGACATAGAATCTGAAGCAGGTTCCAGGCACTGAGCTGTCCACACAGAGCCCAACATGGGGTTTGAACTCATGAACTGTGAGATCATGACCTGAGTCAAAGTCGGTTGCTTAACTGAGCCACCCAGGCACCCCAAAAATAAAATCTTTTATTTTATTTTATTATTTTTTATTTTTGAGAGACAGAGCGTGAGCAGGGGAGGGGCAGAGAGAGAGGGAGACACAGAATCAGAAGCAGGCTTCAGGCTCCGAGCTGTCAGCACAGAGACCAATGCGGGGCTTGAACCCATGAACTGTGAGATCATGACCTGGGCCAAAGTTGGACGCTTAACCGACTGAGCCACCCAGGCGCCCCCCCCCCCAAAAAATAAAATCTTTAAAAATATGTATAAAAATGTGATAAGAGAAATTTTGTCACTATCGTAAAGGGATCCTTGTCACTTTCTGTAGCAACCAGATTTAATTTCTCAGAAAAACGAAAGATCATCTTTACATCCCTCAGAAATTACCTTGTCTGTTGAGAAACCCAATGCACGTTATGGTTAGCATATATTAGTCTCAGCCTGCCCAAAGCCTGGGCTGGTGGGAAGTGAGATGGAGGTTGTGTGGGGTGGTCTGGGCCAGTATGTCCATCTACGTATAGAGTACCCAAGGGATTCTCATTTGAGGAAGTTCTGGAGGGCCCTACCCTGCACCTGAGGTGCTGGGGCCAGGCTTGGTCACTGTCTCTCTTTGACCTTCCTCTCCTAGAGTCCACCCTGCACTTGGTGCTTCGCCTGCGGGGTGGCATCATTGAGCCTTCCCTCCGCCAGCTGGCCCAGAAGTACAACTGCGACAAGATGATCTGCCGCAAGTGAGTACTCTCAGATGGTGGCAGGGGGTGGCTAGCCCCGGTGGGGAGGGCTTGGGTTGGGGTGTGTCCTCACCAGTCTCTCTCCTCTTTCTGCAGGTGTTATGCTCGCCTGCACCCCCGTGCAGTCAACTGCCGCAAGAAGAAGTGTGGCCACACCAACAACCTGCGCCCCAAGAAGAAGGTCAAATAAGGCCCCCCCACCGGCTCTTCTTTGCCTGCAGGATGGCCTCCTGCCCAAGCCCCAAGGCCCTGGGGCCTCAATAAAGTTTCCCTTTCATTGACTGGAGCAGTAACTGGTGTCTGCATGGCTGGTGTGTCCAAGGAGGAGCTGGCTGAGCTGTGGGCATCTCCCGGAGGGACTCCCATCACTTGATTCTGCACAGCCCTCGAGAGTCCCGTGTCCTTTGGGTTTTGATTGTCTCAGCTATAAAATGTGCCGTGGTCCCTGCCCTTCACATCTAACGGTTTTTCACAGCCACAGTGCACACAGGTTTCAGTCTCGGCCCTCTGCCACATACCCTCATGAACCTGCCTGTCTGCATTTTGTCATCCTTAATGAAGACTCCCCCAACCCCCCCAAGCCCAGGCTCTTGCCAGACTGCAGGTCAGCCATGTCACTGCCTGGGCCCTACTCAGACACTCGGATGACTTCATGCCTGTGCCCTGGAGGTGTCCAGGTGTGGGTGGGTAGACAAAAACTGCACCTAGTGTAAAACATGTTCGTTGGCTAAATATGAGGAGCACCTGGGCCCACCTAAGCCCTCTAACCTCAGTCTTGGAGGGGCAGGCCTTGGTGTTTATAAAACTTGTGCTGATGCTCCTGAGAATCAGGTGAGCTTCGGAGTGCCCTGGACTGGCCCCGGCATGGCCATGCTTTTATTTGTCTTGAGATGACTGGGGCTTTGTGTCAGGTGACAACCCAGGCCTGGACAGTGACTCAGATCTGAGTACCAGCTAAAGGCTAATGTCTCTTGTTTCATGGGTTTCAACCCTGTTAACTGCTGGCCCCTGCTTCCTAGGCTAGGCTACCAACATCTACTTATCCCTGGAGAAAGAAGCTTCCCAAAGCTCAAACAAGGTAGTGTATCCCCAGCAGAAAGCTCCAATGCCTCCCGTGCACTTAAAACGAAGCCCTGCTGGCCTCACCCCTACCCCAGACTCGGCCTTTGCACAGGCTCCCTTCAGCTAGCTCCTTTC